CAAAGTAACAAGGAATAAAACAAGATACACAGAACAAGATACAACACAATGAACCAATAGACTTGCCAAACTTTCGAGAGGTTGGCTCTCTCCACCCCAAGGGCCAAGATCACAGTTCAAATTCTTCACACCCTTTTACTGCTCAGCCGAAGATAAGATTTATAGACCCCAAAAAGTAACTTTCACAACCCCCAACTCATGGACTTTGACTATAGCAATCCTATAGCTGCCCTACTCTTTACTTCTTTCTTCAGAATAGCAAGTCAAACTTCTACCCAACAAAAAGTATTTTTCCCTTTCCATGCATTTTTCCCTAAACTTTCAAAAGTGATCCTAACAAGAGCACTAAGCGCTAAAGAATTTAAGCGCGGGTAGCAAAACAAGAATTTGGGTTTATGTAAATTTACCTAGAGTCAAAATTGATTGAGTCAGCCATGACCAAATCAACTATTATTAAGCCAACTATTTTTAACATAACACGAACCTATTGCTATTCCTACAGTTATTTTATACAAAAACCAACAGTGAATTCTATACGTATATATGCAGAAAGAGATATCAGCATCTTTCTGGTACAAGTAATCAAATGCAATAAATCATCCGGAAAAGAGGGGTGTTACCATCTTCTTGATAAGTTTCTGAATTAAGTTGTTTTAGTCCTCTATAAATCTCAAAAGCATTGATCATGGCTGGTAAATCAGATTCTGGGGTGGGATTGATGGAAATACGAAGCTGGTTTGCTTGCGTGATATTCCCAACAATTGTGAGTAGCTTCAGATATTGAGTAGTAATGGGCTCCGAGAGGATGCGACCATCATTGAAAGTAATATTCATGATCCTTTTCTGATTTGTTGCTTGCTTATCAAATTCAAAGAAGTAAAAGTAACAGAAGTACTCGTTGGAACTATCAGTTTGTTGATCAGAGTAGATTTCCATGGTAGGGTGCAGGCTCGTGGACAGTATTGCAGTCTTCAATACTTGTTGCGGCAGGTTATTAGTACTTTGTGTTCCATTTAAGTCAATAATTACTGATGTGGTGGCTATACTTGAACTGCCGAAGGATCTTTTAAACCACACACGACCATATGTATCATCTTTAAACCTGCGTTTACCAAACAGAGAACAGAGTCGAAAACAAATATTTATAAGATGTAAAGTGTAACTTGATTTGATGTGGGAACTGGGAAGCATAGAACTCATATAAAATTGAGAAAACACGCGCGCGCTCGCATGGTGGTGTATTTCAATGCTTGATTTTGACCAAGGGTCATACACAGACGTGTACCTGATGAACCTGTCGTCTCCTGGCTTGCTAGGGGTAGACCGGGTCAAGAGATCCAACGGAATCGAACTGGAGATTTGATAAATATTATCACCGAGAAGCCATAATTCCAAGGACGAAATAAAAGGAACACCTTTTCCCGTTTTAACAAGACACACACTTATGGTGTCTGCTAAGGCAACAAGAATAACCTCAACAGAATAATACGACGTGATATCGTCAAATTCAATAGTCTTCCAGAGATTGACACCAAGATACAAATCAAAAATGGGTTTTTTGTTCTTCAAGTCATAGTTTCCATAAGCAAAGAAAGCTCTGACAATGTACTTGCTGTTTCTACTGGAAGTGAGAGTATAGCAGTTCCTTTTTCCATCTGGAAAACTTCTCAGTGTGTTAAGTTGCTTCGACATTTGGGATTTGGAGAAGTTGTATGGTACGTTGTGATTCTGGCCTGTTTCTACAAAACCTGAATCTGGTTTATACCACATGTTGCTCTCACTGTCTTGGTACGCCTCCTCCACCCCACAATCTATGCCTATGTGATCTACAAATGTTCAAGTCAAAATAGAAACAGAGCCTCGTTAAAGAAGCTTAATATAGAAAACACATAATGGAGGAAGATGCGAGTTAACTAATAAGAAAAAAAGAAACCATTTTAAAAGAATGCAAGGGAAAGTGCAATGCTAAAATGTGGGTGTTTTTGCTCTTGTACGGGACAATTATGCGGACGAAGAGGCAACTTGCCTGAATCATCAGAAGAGGCAACTTTGGAGTCTGAAGCCATCCAGCTTGCGTTGTGAAGAGGAATGAAGAAAGCAAGTAAAAGCAACGTCAATTCTGATGCAATCTTCATTGTTTGCCACTGCCACTTTCGGTTCAAATGCCCACTGCTTCATAAACACAACTGAGAAAACGAGTCCAACACACCGCGTTCTGGCGAAGTACGTATCCATCACTGCGAGGAGCATAGATTGACTTAACGCCACCATGTGGGGCCCATTACCCAGTTCGAATCCAAACCGACGTTACTTTTTAAAATGTTTTCTTTTTGGGAAATAACCATAGAAAGCCGCTGGAATAAAAAATTATAAATTAGAACTCATGACAATATCAATATGAGTTTTGATAATAACTTTTAAGAATCGGTCCTGTGTGCAATTTTTTTTTATTTTAACAGTTTTTTTAAACGATTTTTCCTTTTTTTTTAAACTACATTTTAAAATATTTGAGGAGGCTAATATTAGTCCATCAGCTTCAAAGACTCATGTAAGGGAAAGCAACTAATTTATAAATATTTAAAAAAAAAAGTTAAGTTAACTATTTACAATAAATATAGCTTGATTTTTTTAAAATATTTTTTAATCATTACCTCTTGGATAAAATCCTTCTTTACTCAATCTAATTAATAGGAACATTTTTTAAAAATTATAAATTTAACAAAAAATAATATTAAGATTTTATATCTAAAACTAAAATAAATTCATTAATTAGTTCACATTTATTGCCAAAAGAAATATTATATACCAGAAATAAAATTATTGGAATAAGAGAGACTGTGCACACATATTTTTAGTTTTACCTTTAAAAGGCTACTCTATTTAACATTATTTTTTCAATACATCTATTTCACAGAATTCTCAAAGTTCTTATAACTTTCATAATATGCCTCAATGTCTTGTCGTATATCACATTTAAAATTTGCGGTTGTTATATCCTTCAAAATAATTTTAAAATGTATAGCCTCTTGTAATAAGTAACTCTATTTTATGGTTTACACAACTTTTCTTTCCATTTATCTTTTAGCTATATGACTTTTGCAAACAAAATTATTTGTATTTTAAAATTTTAAAGACAACATTAATGGGCCATTTAGTCCCATGAAACATTTTTTTTTATTATTTTTTCGGTTCTTGATATAAAACCTATTTAACTAATTTAATTAGATTAAAAAAGTTAATTAATTATAAGATATATAACATATTTTTTAAAACATTACAATTATCTTGTATAATATCCTCCTTTCTCCTACTTGATTATGATTGAGGAAATATCTGTAGAAATAATTTAAAAAATTGATAAATATGAAAAATAGATCTTACATTTAAAACTAAAATCAATGTAATAACTAAGTCATATATTAAGAACAGAAGAGTAATATTTTTTTCTTAGGAAATAAGGTTGAAGACAATATTAATTATTAAATAACAATGATTCTTATATGTGGATTATTTTTTTAATTTATGAGATAAAATTTTTAATAAATAATATCAAAAATTCAAAATGGAGGTGCGTGTAGACTGTAGACACGCACACATATAGGTGGGGTGATAATACTGATGAGAGACAGCTTGCTGAGACACTGATTGGGGAAAAAACTTCAGAGAGAGACAACTTTTTAGATGGAACAAGAAACCACGGCATTGAATTCCCTTTTCATGTTCAATGCATGTCAAGGCAGGAGTGGACCACCAGAACAGGTACGACACTTGAATAATACGTGTGTGTGTGTGTGAAGAAACATGTTTTAAAACTACCAACAAGAGTTGGTCCAGTTGATAAGGAATCGGCTCATAACCCACAAGGTCGTGAGTTCGAATCCCACTGCCGATGTGAGGACCTTGTTGGTGGGCGATCTGTAAGTACCTCTATAAGCGCTCTCTGAGCCTGGAGGCATGCCCTGGTCCTGGTGAGCCCCCGGGACCCAACTCACCTAAACTTTTCATTACCAAAAAAAAAACGTTTAAAACTTGAAGGAAAAAGAATTATTTTTTAATAGGCACAAGGATCATCTTATTAGAAGCAATCATGTTTGAGATATTATCAGACGTTAAATATAGACATTTGTTTTAATAGAGATTTGAATATTGGTTCATCACACTATGAGAAATTAACCTCTTCTATTAAATTCAGTTTCTGTTGATAAAGGATAAAAGAATTGCATTATTATTTTTTTCAATTAAAGAAGCAAACATTTTAATTACAACTTCTCACTTGGAAAGGAATCTTCGTTTTCCCTAAATCGTGAGGCTATTGGCAAATCTTTATTGATTCTAAGAAAACATATTGGGCCCTCAAGAATAAGAAAGTTATGTCTACATTGTTGCCGACAGAGCAAATGGGGAGATCATTGGGAGAATGCACCCGTACGGCTAGCTCCAATTTTCCAACGTCCATTACGGTTCACGGGAACAAGGAATACAAAAGTTATGGGAAAATCATAAATTAAGATCAGTGAGTCAAATTCTCTGTTAGATCTAGCTCGTAACTCTATCATTTTTAATATATTATCATTTTGATCTTTTAAAGAAAAAAAAAAGGTTAAATTCTCTACTTATCTAATTCCACACTCTGTTTAATGTACCTTTTCCTAGTATTGATATTTGAACTTGTCACAATTTTTGTTGCGTTTTGGTTTTTCAACATGAACTCTCAAAGACTGCTTAGGCTACTTGAATATGTCATAGTATTGTATTATTTTCCATTCTTAATATAAAAGCTAGTTGACTAATTTGAGTAAATTATAAAAATTAGTTAAATGAGTTATTCATAATAAATAGATATTGTTTTTCTTAAAATATTCTTATTAATCAAATGTATTAGTGAGAACTACTATTATTATAAGAATTATTTTTAAAAAATGAATAAATATGATAGATAAAATGGTTTGGAGTCTTATATTTAGAATCAAAATAAAAATTAAAAGGCTTTTAATTAAGAATCAGAAGTAGTATATGACGTAAAAATCAAATGCAACTCCCAATACACTTGAATATTGAATGCGAAGCCAAGTGGATGCTAGCTAAAACATGATCCATATAGATAAACCATCAGGAACAAGACCTATCCATAAGACAGTGATGCTCCTCAATGGAATTTACTTTTTATGCAAACTCCAAAACAGAGATATGTATTGCTTTTGTTCTTATTAAAAGTTACTTGTAACTGTTGTTAACTAGGACCGCCGCTTGTGCCTAGCTATTTCTTTACAAGCTGTAGCTTGCCTTTGTTACTCAAAAAAAAAAAAAAAAAGTTACTTGTAACACATTTTCAATTAAAGAATGCATTAAAGTGACATAATTTTTTAAATTCACTCTTATTAAAATTTTCTTTGTTTTGTTTTTATGGAAAGGCAAAATGCATAATAAAATAGAGATACAAACTCAAAGGTTCATTACACTAGAAAAAACAGGACTACTGTTAGCTAGGACTGAATGCGAAACCGAAACAGCTACTTTAAAATGATCAAAAGTAAAAGTGCAAGAGCTGCAGAAAGTCGGAGATGATGACATCCTGTGATTGTGCTTTGAGGCAGATGGAGACTTGCTTTTTAATTGAGAAAATGTCTAATTTTTCTCGAATGGCTGCCTCATGAAAAGGAGAGTTGGTATCCAAACCAAAGCTGCCCTTAAAAAACAACGGAGGAGGTTTCTCTTGAAACATTTGAGTTTTCTTCAGGAAACCTTGATTAAAGACTGGCCGTGGGATTTTTCTTCAAAGAAGAAGAGAAGCGAAAATTTGGAACTTGCATATTATTAAAAAAGAAAAATTAAAAAAAAAAAGGAACTTGCCTTGAATGGAGGGAACTTCCTTGACTTTACCCAACAGAACAACGTTGCATGGTGATTGAATGGAGGGAACTCATTCGGATTTTTATTCTGTGTTCATTACTGTAATACAATCTAAACCATTCAAAATCTAACATAGATGGTTCAGATTTAAAATGTTTAATATATAATTTTTTTAGTGATAAATTTTTTTTTAAAGATATGTTAGTTATGATATTATATTTATTTTAAATTCTATATCTATTAAACTAAAAGTTGATTAAAATATATAAAAAATTTAAATTCAATCTGAACCATCTAAAATCACTCTGGATTGTCCAAATTGTGATGAGCACTCCGTGCTTATCATTGTTACGAGAATGAAATGTGCTCCCGAACTCATTCTTGACTTTATTAAAATGGTGCGCATAAATGATGAGCTCTTGGTGCTCATCATCATGCCTAGCACCAAAACTGAGCCCATATTTAGAACCAATTTTTTCTCCTACAAGTAGACTTATAATAAGAATAAGAGTGGTAATTAATATGATGTGCCACAACATGGACATGTTTTTAGTGGTTGGAAACAAGCCAAATGCAGAAACTTAACATCTAATGCACTTTAATTTCTATATGAACCAAGCAACTGACTCACAGACATACCATGAACAGAAACAAACACACCTCACAATTACCCCCACCATATAAAATAACATATTGTCTAACACAATAAGTAGCGTCCCAATGTGTAACAGAAGATCTCATGTGAAGACCTGAGATTTGTTCTTGTGTAGCCTCACTGGCTTCCCATTTTTCTATTGAACCAGGACCTTTCATGGATATCGTCAGGGTAACTGCCTAATTAAGAAAGAGTTATTATTACATCGTCTATGAATTTAATGAAGTAATGGACGAAAGATCAATGATTATTACCTCATGTCCAAGTCTAAGAAAAATCGAAGCTGTGTGATCATACCTAGACTTCTGCCATGGCAGTACTTCCAACAATGAAATGAAGGGTGTTCCTTGGCCTGTGTTCGCAAGACATGCGTTGATGTCGTTATCAGTTGGAGAGACATGAATGACCTTGAAACGTACAATGTCTCCATCTGATGAATCTGGGCCTGTTTGGAATAGTTTATAAATAACTTTTTAATCATAATTTATGAACTACAAGGTTAGCATGTAAGAGGACTTATATGAAACATGTTTATAAGTGTTTTTGAACACTTTCTCAAACAGGCTCTCTATCATCGTCTGCCAAGTAAGAAGATTTGGTTTTCAGGTCTATGTTATCCTCTGTTGCCCCACAACCAATCCTTATGCTGTCTGTAACTAGAAAATTAGAGTCGTATAAAAGCCAACATCAATATCAATGCAGCCCTGGTTTCAAACAACAGTCACTTTGATGTTATCTATATTTAGATTAAAAACTCAATAAATAGCCTATATTACAACGAAATGCAATGATATTTTATTAAAATACCTAATTTATTATATCACCTCCTCTGATCCTGTAAATAGAACTCTTTTAACCAATTCACAGAATTAACAGAATCAAGTTAAATTTTATTTTTTTTTTCCGCCGCAAATATAGAATGGAGATGGATGTGAGTTACCCTAACTTTATTTCATTTCTTTTTTTTTTCCCGAAAAGACTTTCAGTAATTTCTCCGTTGTTTTCATTCTATTTTCTCTAAAGAGGGGTAATTTAGGATAGGGACACACAATTTTTACATGATAATGATAAATAACTAACTTAGTTAAATATTTTAACATGTATAAATTAATTAATTAGGTTTCACATTTAATATTTGAGAGAGTAATACTTCATGTATCAATAATTTGTACTATTATTCTAATATTGCTCTTACTCCCTCGATTCAAAATTATATAAGGCATTTTTAACTAATGACTTTTAGCATATCTAATTAAGTTGGAGCTTTATTAAGGGGTATATATTTTGGTGAAAATATTTAAACGGAGTGAGTAACACCCAGTCCTAGTGAGTCATGCTCAAGCCTAGCCAAGCACATACCAGACGAAAAATAAATAAAATGAAATAAAAGCCAAGCAACACACGAGTGCGTGCTTAGAAAACTAACAAGTACAAACGGAAACAACCGAACAAATTTAATTTAAATTTAATTTAAATCAAAATAAATCTGACGAGTTTCACTATTATTAAGAACAACAATAAGAGAGTCTTAAGGTGAAAACCAAATTATAATTTCAAAAATAATTTTATGATATACAAAGTAAATATAATAAAAAAAATTTTAATTTACATAAAAATGTTTTTTAAAAGTGCTTATAGGGATTGCTAAACACCCCTAAGATGATAGGAAGTGGAGCCACATCACCATCTATTATTTGTATCAAAGTGAAATTCAGTCGAACATAGGTCTTTTATGAATACATTTGAATAGTTAAATCATCAATATTATTAATATATGATATATAGAAAAATTTCAACAAAAAAATACATGATACAAGATTTCTAATAAATTTATTATATTATTAGCAGTTCCAAATTACAGTATTTCTTGGATTTTCCGTTGCTGGCCGGAGAAGGGGGAAAACAAACAAGTACAAAAAGTTGTCGGCAGATAAGTCTCAGTCAATGCCAAGAACAAAAAGCAAACCGCGAGATGCCTGCTTTGGTTAAGCCAATAATTTTTTTCCCTCTCCATAGCATGCCAATGATTATATTGAGATTATTAATTTATTCTCATATAAAGAAATTTATTAAATTAATAAAATTTTTAAATATATTCTTATTAAAAAAAAATTCCTTTCTTTGTATTTACAAATAATTCTCACTTATCTCTTTTCTTCTTCCAACAGAAATTAAATAAAGACACACTAACCCCATCACTGAAAGTAATAACCATCTTTCTCTGCTGATTCTGTGACTTATCCTCGAAGTCATAAAAATGAAGGTACACATAGTAATCACCATCTGGATAATCCATGTTGATATCCAGGGAAGAATTAGCACCGCCAGGCTGAACAGCACTACTCAACACTTCTTTTGGCAGTTTGAAAGTATTTTCATCCGTATTGCTGTCAATAGCCATAGACGTATTGATTCGCACTGTGTTTCCCATTTGTCTATTGAACCAGGACCTTCCATAGATATCATCTGGGTATCTGCATAATTAAGAAACAGTTGTTTGTGCTGAGAAATGAAATTTTACAGGTTTCATGCCAAAAAATAAAAAGGAGGAAAATTTGGTAAAAAGTCCTGACTAAAAAAAACACAAATTTGAGTAAATGCAACTATTTTCAGTTAGTAAAACATATCTTTAATTATGTGCAAAAGTCATCAAAACAGAAAAATATGTTATTATGTTACACACAGCTGAAGATATGTTCTACATAACTGAAGAAAAATTGCACGTAATGAACATAATTACGTCCACTCAAATTTAGGTCTTTTTAGCTGATCAAATTTTTAAACAAGCACTTTTACCATTTTTTTTCCAAAAAAGAAACAGTTATTATTACCTGATGTGGCTTTACACATGAATTTAATGAAGTAATGAACAGAAGATATCTGATTATTACCTGATGTAAGTAGCATCTTCAGACATACCCAGCTTGGAGCGTGACATGAGAATTAGTAAACCCGAAGCTGTGTGATCATACCTAGAATTCCACCGTGGCAGTACTTCCAACAATGAGATGAAGGGTGTTCCTTGGCCCGTGTTTACAAGACATAAGTTGATGTCATCATCAGTTGGAGACACATGAATGACCTCGAAACGTGCAATGTCTCCATCTGCTTGGTTAATTGTCGCCCAGTAATTGACACCAATGGACAAATTGAACGATGGCATTCTTCTTCTATAATCGTAGTTCCCATATGCAAAGAATGCCCGTACGAGGTAGTACGTGTTTTTGGTTGGTGCGGGCACTGAGTAGCAATTCCTTTGCCCTTCTGGAAAGCTTCTTAATGTCTTCAGCTCCTTCCCAATCTGTTCTTTACTGTAACTAGCTGGTGCATCCCCGTGCTTTGCACGGGGAGAATTTCATACCACATACTCATATAACACGTGTACATTTCATAAATTCTGAATAATAAATGTTGCCATATGCAATCACACATATCACATTCATTTACAACATCACCACTTGAGTCAGGAAAAAACATTTGTATTGGCAGGATGGAAATTACCTCACAAAGTGTTAACATTGTAATTGTAGGATCAAACACAAATTAACGTACAAACAAACCTCAAGGCAAGTTGTTAAATATCTCCCTATAAACAACATTGATTGTTGTGTTTTGACAGCAACCACCGTTCTCATCAACCACAACTTTCAAACCATCGATTGACTTGACACGAGATAAGGCAACATAAAGCTGACCATGCGAGAAAACAGGCTTAGTCAAATATAACCCAACATTCTTTAACGATTGTCCTTGACTTTTGTTTATAGTCATTGCAAATGACAAAGTCACTGGGAATTGTCTCCTCCTTAAGCGGAATGGCCATCTACTTTCTGAGGGATTCATATCCATCCTATGTAAGAGGACTTTTTGGCTTATACTGCACCCATTCAAAGTTACTCCTTCAATGACATTCTTGCCTAGATGAGACACTATCAATCGTGTCCCATTACATAAACCTGCTGCTTGATCAATATTCCTTAATAACATAATAGGTGCACCAACTTTAAGGATTAACTTGTGTGGTGGCAATCCAGAGCTATTAATTGTATTGAGGAACTCTGTGGTATACAAGTTCTCAAAACAATCAGTATCTTCACTTGATTTGCATACTGTATCACAACTTAGGTACTCGTATGATTCACCAGGTAACATTTGGCACATGTACTCATTGAGCTGGTTCACATGATCGATGGTTGGAGCAAGTATAGCTCTATCACTGAAGAAATCCTGGTTGCCAAAATTGTATACTAAATCACCATATGTTGCAGAAACAATAGCTTCCATTGCATTTGTGTATTTGCTTATCAAGATTTCCTTCGGAATTTCTATCTGTACAACTCCATCATGAGGAAGACCAATCTTGCCATCACCAACTTCTAACAACCAGTTTGAGAACTTTTGTATTTGGATCTGACCATCTCCTGAAGAGGACGTTAAACGCATGTTCTTGGTCAACTTGAAGATTGTGCAGTGACGCCATAGGTGTGAAGAACTAATACTTGCATTAACAACAACAGCTCTTGTTCCTTTTGGTATTACTGGTAATATTTGACGAAAATCACCCCCCATTAACATACATTTCCCTCCAAAAGGTTTATTGGAATGCATGATATCTTTGAAGCTACGATCCACTGCTTCGATACAGTAACGTTGAACCATTGGTGCTTCATCCCATATAATTAACTTTGCACTCTGGATTAGATTAGCTAGAGGTGAATTTTGCTTAATTGCACAAACTGAGAACTCATTTACCTGAATAGGAATAGCAAACCTTGAATGAGCAGTCCTACCACCTGGCAGCAATGTTGCTGCTATTCCACTTGATGCCACAGTTATGACTATTTCTCCTTTAGCACGTAATGATGACGTCAAAGCATTCCATAAGAAGGTCTTCCCTGTCCCACCATAACCATACACAAAGAAGAAACAACCTGAAGATTCTGCAATTGAACTCATCACTTTATCAAATATCTTTCTCTGCTCATCATTCAATGCATTTACTAATCTCGTAGCTTCATGTTGTAAGTCCTCTTTGTTGTAGTTTAGTTCTTGGAGTATAAGATGATTGCTTACATCAATCGTTGGGGTATCTAATGGTAACGGTAGGGAAGGAAAATCAAGCAGACTCTTACCATTTGCTTGCAAAAGCTTCTCAATATCTCTTAATGCGACTTGTTCCTTTTGATCCAATGTAACCAATTGCCCTACATATAAGAATATCTTATTTGATAAGTTTCTTAATACAAAAAAAAAATCAAGTTCAAAGTTATTAGTATGATATATTAATAATGTACTCACTTGAGATATTAGGATGACCATGTGGAATGTAGAGCAAATCCTCCGATAGCACTTTAGACGTTCCTTGCCAGACTAAATCAGGACGACTGAGGCAACCACTAAGGAGCATGCTGACAAACATTTTGCGTAATGATGTTCCTGTTGCCCATATAGCTGCTTCCTTGATAGCACAAATGAACTCTTTGTCGTCATCTAATAAACCAAGTGCAAAGCATGCTTCACGAAATGTTGGGTACAATACATCATTTAAAGTCCTTATCTCCTCGTATGATCTTGGTCCTCTCACTTTTGTTAGCAGGATACGCAAATAGTACAGTTCACCTGATGATGGTGAAGCGTTCGTGATCCTTCCAACTGAGAATCCTTTCTTCCTAGGTCTCCATTCTCGTTTATCTTTATGGTAAACAAAATGATTCGGGAATTCAGCATAAGTAAGAGTTCTTGCTAATCCCCCTTCTTGATTGGTCTTCATCCATGCTAGAAACTGTGACTCGCACACACGTGGTTTATTAAGTAAATTTGTGACATCATCATTGTTTGAATAAATCACAAGCTGTTGGTTTGGTAGATGGTAGCTCAACCTCTCAATAGAAGGATGTCTATGGCACTGAGTAGCAATTCCTTTGCCCTTCTGGAAAGCTTCTTAATGTCTTCAGCTCCTTCCCAATCTGTTCTTTACTGTAATTCGACAATACCATGTGTGCTTCCCCGTATTCAACGAATCTATCATCGTCTGCCTGGTAAGAAGATTTGGTTTTCGGGTCTGTGTAATTCTCTCTTGCTCCGCAATCAATCCTTGTGTCGTCTGGAACTAGACAATTTGAGTAGAATAAGAACCAATATCAATATTAAATTATTAATACACAGGTTTGGATTCTCCCTACTTCTCTTCCCTTCCACTTCCCCACTTTGAAATTTAAACTGCACTCAGATTTCATATTGTATAAAATTATTAATTATTAATACTCCCCTGTACTCAAATAATGATCACTTTGGAGTTATTCATGTATTATGTTAAAAACTCAATAAATAGCCTATATTATAGATACAATCATATGATCCATTAGTTGCATATCATATCCAAAGTGAAATTCAATCCAAGCTTTTATGAGTATATTTGAATAGGTAAAAGGAAAAAATCTGAAAAAAAAAATCTCTAAAATTTCAAACTCCTAAATCAGGAATGACTACAAAAATAGGTTATTATTTGCTTTTTAAATGTTGAAATGTAATAAACAAGACTGATTTAAAATTTTAAAATTCAAATTTTTTTTTTTGGGATTCTCCCTAGGTAAAATAATCAATCAACATCAATATTTGATACACATTTTTCCACCGAAAATTAAATATGATATAAAATTTTGTTGGGAAAAAACATGATATTAAATTTATAATAAATTTATTACTTATAAAGTATGAGCAGTTCCAAACTACAGTATTCTTCTTAGATATTATATATTCTTTTGATCCTTAATGTAAAACCTAATCAACTAATTTGAGTAAATTAAAGATGCTAATTAAATTAGCTAATATACCACATTTTTTTTAAAAATATTATAAACATCTTCCTTAATTTCCTCACTTCCTCTCCTACTTGATTATTGTTGAAAAAATATCAATAGGACTAATTTACAAAAATAATAAAAATGTGAAATAGAGTTTGTATAAACAACTAATATTAGCTTTTTAATTAGGTTATACATTATTGGAAAGTAACACATAGCGGGCTGAAAAAGGGGAAAAAGCAAACAAGTCAGTCAATCCCATGAGCTAAAAGCAGCCCGCCAGACGCCAGGTTTGGTTAGCACTAATCTTTTCTATTGTATGTCAGTCATTGAGATAGATATAATAAGAGCAAAAATGTATTTAACTCGATTAAGAATTAAATTTAATTAATTTAATTGTTTTAACTGTTTTCTTAAAAGCAATGGTGTGATATATTTGAGGTGGGAATTAAGGAGACATCCATTATATCTATGTATTTCTCCCTAATGAGTTAGGTAATTAATGATGATATATAGGAAAGGCATATCTATTACATATTTACAATTATGTAATTATTACATAAAAATTATTTTTTTAATATTTATATTTTGCCTCATAAAAAAAATATTTATATTTTGACATCTTTGTCTTTATTTTAATTTTATCTAAACTAATTAATATAAATTTAAAAATATAAGTTTCCAATTAAAACCCTAATAACCAATCGTTTGAAAAACAAGAGCACCTCTTACTCATAGGATTACCAATAAATAAATAAGCACCACGCAATGGGCATCATCAAGTCTTGAATAAGGACTTAAAATCAGACTTGCAAACAATGAAGACCAAAAAAAAAATTCTTGACTTAATGATAATGAAGAATGAAATTAACTAACAAAGCAAGAGGGGGTGGGATGAAGAAAGGGTTAAATTTACCAGAATTGCCAGTCTGATGTGCCAGAGCTAGTGCTGAGCTGATGAGAAGGAAGAAGAAGAAGGAAGCAAAACCATGCAAGCCAGGAAGCCATTTTAGTGTCTTCTTGTTCTTCATCTTCGTGCTTAGTTAAGATTAGAGAGCTGAGACGCCTTGTGTTCTTGTGGGAAGCCGAAAGCCGAAAATGGTGGTGAGTGCTCACTGCTTTTGAGTACAAATTCTAGGAACGAATCAGCAGGCGGCTTCTATATGTTCGAGTAGTACTATTTATTTGGGAAAATGCCAGAAAAATGCACCTCCAACTCCAAAAGCCCAAAAACGTCCGCCGAATTTCAGTAATCCCGTTTTGGTACCAGCAGACCATTCTGGGATTATTTTCTTAGACAAAAAGACCAAACCGCCCTCACCCATTACAAAGCGTGGGCACCACATGGGCACCACAATAAACCGCACACCGAAGGAAGATAGGCGGGAAGGAAAGGAGAGAAACGTGCGCGTTCCAGCAGGTCGAAGGTGACGAAAACGTGGTGGTTCGAAAGGGTAAGTGTTTTTCTGGAATCATATGACTGTTTCATCCTCCATGCATGACTGTTGCGGTCTGTTTTCTTCATTTTGGTGGTCCTGCGTTCTGTATGTGGCGTTGAGGGTTCAGAGTAGGTAAGGTGCGGCATTACGTAAGGCATACGTTCTTCATATTGGGGTGTTGGTTTTTCCTTTTTTAGGTGTGAGAATGGTCATCAATCTGAACAAATGAGTTGATTACTATTAGATAAGGTTAGGGTTTTGGCCAAGTTAGTTTTGTCAGCTTAAGAGGGAGACGATGCTGCAGCAATCGTAAGTTGATTCATCTGGAGGTATTGGTTGTTGTTTTTAACTTGTGGGAATGGAACGTATGAGTCGGGTAGTGAGTGATAGAGTTAGCTTAGTCTGGGACGGTGTTTATAATGATCTGTTTTTGGGGATAGCATATGGTAGCTGAGGGAAATTGGAAGAAGCGCTGCGATGATCACGTATATAAGTAGGCTGAATATCCATAGTAATGAGGTTGTGAAGGGTGTTGTTAATAGTTAAAGTGGAGTTGTGAAACGATATATTGAAGTTGTTAACTTTGAAAGTAGCTGTGTTGGGTTTATGAAATATCCTTTTTACAGAGATGACATTGTGATGAAATATTTTCCTTGTTTGTTGCAGGGTATAATGCAGAATGAGTTGCAATATTGGGTCAACATATTCAAAGACACTTGCATTGATTTTTCATCTTGGTGGAAACTTTGTTAATAATGTTGAAGGTGAAATGAGATACAATGGTGGGAGTGTGAGAGTTAGAACGATAAAACAGGGGATAAGATACGAAGAGTTGAGGTTAATGATATTGGAATGGTTTGATATAGATGTTAATATTTGTGACATGAAATATACAGTGAGCCTCGATGATAAGGCATTAGTAGATTTGGTTGATGATAGTGAAGTTGATAATCTTTTTCAGTATAATGACACTAGTGCACATGTGTATCTAGCATTGAAGGAGAGTACACCGGAAGTAATGGATGATCCACAAATGTGAGACTTGTTTTTTTATGGTTATTTTAGTTGTTATTTGTTATATTGTTGTTGTGAATTTGCTAACAAAAGTTGTAATTATGCATGCAGCATTGACAACTACTTGGGATTGTCACAACAAATGTGTTTTTTGTCAAGTAGGGAGAATAATATGGACGGAACAGTTTGTGATGAAAATGGGGGTGACTGTGTAAGAGAAGGCGGTGGGGGATGTCATGTGAGGCTAGTAAGTACAGTAGAGATTGCACCAACACCAATGCCCGAGATGAATGCTGTGAAGTGGAAGGAATTGTTGTTAGGAAAGAAGCAAACTTTTGCAAATGCCACAGAATTCAGAAAGGCAGTATATAAGTTTAGTATTGCAGAAAACTTCGAGTACAAATATGTCAAAAATTGTGAGGAATGTGTGCATGTGAAATGCAAAGTTGAAGGTTGTCCTTGGCGGATAATAGCAAGAGTAGCTGCGAAGAGAAGTCCTTTCCTCGTTGTAACTCGACTGAGTAATGAACATGTGCATAATGCCCAAGAGATGATGCAAGTTACACATGGTGGAAGAGCAGCCTTGACATCATCAATTATCATTGAGGAGGTAAGGGATCACACTGAAAAGCGTCCAAATGAAATAAGGAGGACCTTGGCAAGGGATTATGGTGTGAAGTTGACATATAAGCAAGCATATAGGGCTAAGGAAAAAGCATTAGAGGAAATACAAGGGAGGCCTGAACAGTCATACATGTTGATACCATGGATATGTCAACGATTGAAGGAAACCGATGAGAAGACGGTAGCTGAATGGGTAGCAACTGTTAACAATATATTTGAGCGTGTTTTCATAGCATATGGTTGTTGCATAGAGGGTTTTTTGTCTGGGGCAAGACATATACTGTACATAGATGGAACACATTTGAGTGGACCATATAGGGGAACACTGCTATCAGCCTCAGCATATGACGCGGACAATGAATTGTTACCATTCGCGTATGCTATTGTGAAAGGAGAGACTTATGAGGAGTGGGCATGGTTCTTAAACATGATAAAACAGATAGTTGGTGCAATCCAATTAATTATTGTGTCAGATCGTCACAATGCAATAATAGGAGCTGTTGGAGCAATATTTGGAGGTGACCGTCATGCATACTGTTATAGACACGTGAAGGAAAATTTCAGCTCTGAAATGAATAAATTATACAGAGGTAGGAGGAGAACTAGTGGTATTAGTAAGGAAGTTGGATTAAAGTTGCTTGATGACATTGCATATGCAAGGGTTAACGTTGAGTTTGATAAGGCAATGACAAGGATGGGAAATTTCAGTCCTCAGTTACTTCAGTGGCTTAACAATCATGGTGATATTCATAAGTGGGCAATGAGCAAGTTTGCATATAAACGGTGGGATAACATAACAACGAACATTGCTGAGTCATTCAATGCTTGGATTGTAAAGGAAAGGCAGCATAATGTTGCCCAACTTATTCATGAACATCGTGAGAAGGTTGCAAGGAAGATGTTCGCAGCAAGTGTGGCAATGAGGAACTGGAGAAATGGTGTGGGTCCAAACATTGATGGAAAAGTGATGGAAAATGTGGCTAGATCGATTCATATGCATGGTGAACCTTATGGAGGTGGCAGGGTCTGTGTACATACTTCGCGTGGAGCCTTATATGTCAATGTTCAGTCACATGAATGCACTTGTGCTGCATGGCAAATGACAGGGATTCCGTGTCCACACGCTTGTGCTGCAATAAGGGTGGTTCATGCAAATGTGTATGATTTTGTGGAGGACTGTTATAAAATAACATCCCAAGAGAAGATTTATGGGAACACCATGATTCCAGTAGTGACAATTGACAGGCCTAATCCTAATGATTATATGCTGCAAAATATAGGAAACCAAGTGTGGCTATACCCACCTACAACTAGTAGACCTTCGGGAAGGCCAAGAATTAGGAGGCGGGAATCCCAATTCCAAAACAGGAAGATTTACCACTGTGGACAGTGTCATGAACCTGGGCATAGTAAAAGAACATGCAGAAATCCAAACCCAAGTTAAAATTGGTAGTCCACGTGTGGGTTTATTTTGTAAAGGTTATTTTTTGTTGTGGCTTGTAAATATTTTGCAACTCTTCATATTTTTTTGGATGAAGGGTTGTGTCATGTGGTAAGTCGACATCGTAAGTCACACATAGTCAGTGAAATGTGTATTTTGATGTCAGTGACAAGAAAACATTAAGTGGGGATGAAATATTAATGTTAGCCTGTCACTGATTGTAAGTACTGTCAGGAAGGATCTGGTTATAGGAAAATACCTATATTGAAGTTGTTATTTCCTTTAACTGTGTTGTTAACAATGACAGAAGTTGCAAGATGAGTCCCCTTATTATTCATGTTTGATATTGTTGCCTTATGTTTTATGTTTTTAAGTATGATCATCGTATATGAACTTCATTTGAACTGAGTTAAAAATATGGGTATTACTGATCATTTTGTTTTATGACAGTTGTTAAACTTTTACTCGAGTTGTTGAAACGTTATTTAGGGGTTGTTATATGGTTTACTGAAGTTGTAATATGGTGGGTTTAGTCATTATTGGAAATGCTGTTGGGAACGCATATTGAAGTGGGTTTAGTCCGTAAACACGTTTCTAAAGAGGGCGTAAGCACGCCTGTATACCAGGTGGTTAACAGGTATACCTGCGTTGTGATAACCTTATACTGACGTTGTTAAAAGGTTAACCGAAGTTGTGAAAAGGGTTTTTTCCCCCATCTTGAGGAAGCTGTTGTGAATACCGATACTAAAATTGTAAAAATTTAAAATAATGTTGTTAAGGCATACACTGGAGTTGTAAAATTTCTCCCCGATCTTCAACACGTTTCCAACGAGGGTACAAGCGTGCAAGGGACCCGTTAGCTTACGGGTATACTTGAGTTGTGAAAAACCTATACTTAAGTTGTTAAACGCTTCACCGAAGTTGTAAAAGGGGGTATTTGTTTCCATCTTCAGAAAGCTGTTGTGAAAACCTATACTGAAGTTGTAAAATCGTATAATAATGTTGTTAATGCATACACTGGAGTTGTAAAATTTCTCCCCGATCTTCAACACGTTTCCAACGAGGGTGTGGGCGTGCAAGGGACCCGTTAGCTTACGGGTATACTTGAGTTGTGAAAAACCTATACTTAAGTTGTTAAACGCTTCACCGAAGTTGTAAAAGGGGGTATTTGTTTCCATCTTCAGAAAGCTGTTGTGAAAACCTATACTGAAGTTGTAAAATCGTATAATAATGTTGTTAATGCATACACTGGAGTTGTAAAATTTCTCCCCGATCTTCAACACGTTTCCAACGAGGGTGTGGGCGTGCAAGGGACCCGTTAGCTTACGGGTATACTTGAGTTGTGAAAAACCTATACTTAAGTTGTTAAACGCTTCACCGAAGTTGTAAAAGGGGGTATTTGTTTCCATCTTCAGAAAGCTGTTGTGAAAACCTATACTGAAGTTGTAAACACGTATAATAATGTTGTTAATGCATATACTGGAGTTGTAAAATTTCTCCCCGATCTTCAACACGTTTCCCACTTGGGTGTGGGCGTGCAAGGGACCCATTACTTAACGGGTATACATGAGTTGTGAAAAACCTATACTGAAGTTGTTAAAAGCTTCACTGAAGTTGTAAAAAGGGGTACTTGTTTTCATCTCGTGAATGCTGTTGTGAAAACCGATACACAAGTTGGAAACATATATAATGCTGCTGTTAAAATTTACCATAAAGTCTGACTACTAATGTCGCAAATGGTATGAACCCGTTGCTAACAAGACACAATTACTAATCTTGAAATCAGTCCTTCTGCCATGTACATAAATGTTCTCCCAAGTTAAATAACATGGAACTACATCAGAGTGTCACATAGACATGTAAAAGGAACCTCCTACTAAGTACTATGACAAACGTCGTCTTTTGGTGGTTGTCTTGTTCTGCTGTTCTGAGAGGAGAGTTAAGGCTTCTTCACGACTTGAATTTTGCGGATGATTAACTAGCCACCACATTAGCTCACGCCTAAACTCAGCTACATGATTCTGCATATAAGACAGGTCCATATGTTAATGTCCACCGTACCTGGCAAATAATTAATCATTAATTACAGACAACTTTCATACCTCATTGAAGTCAAATGTCACATCCGGGACCCATTTGCTTAGCCAGATCAACACATGAACACCACAATCTCTCCTATACATCCAATGGGAAATAAAACATTTAAGTTAGTATGTCTGCTTCTGCAATTCACATCTTAAACTAGAAAACAATGTCAACAGTCAACACAACATACAAGTTGTTCTGTTGTGGAACAGGTGCAAAAATAATATCAGTCTTAGGCTTCTTCCCAACAAGTTGAGGTCTGACTAATGCAATTATATCATAAAAGTTGTCTCTCTGCAAACCGACAACAGAAATCCAAAATATGAGATAAAAAGGTGGAAACATTGGGCACTTGTGATACACAGATACATTAGTTTAGTCCTTACACATGCATGAAGATGAAACATCCTTTTTTCTTCCAATGAATCCTTCTTCTTGGTCTTCTTTGGCATATCATTAGGCAGCCTCATGGAGTCCAGGACATAAAAATGCATTGTTTTTGGCTCCAACACAAAGCAAAACCAGTGAGACTCAACAATTGCGGGTCCAAATATTAAATCACAGTCACCTAGGTTGTACCCGATATGCTGTGGCAAAATAGCACGTTTGTTCTCTGATGCTCGCCACTGAGAAGGGTTACCAAGCATTTTCATCTACAAAACAACATATTAGTTTAATCATCACAACCCGTAATTGTCAAACAAACCGTACACACCACAGGGCTCACCATGAACTCAGCATCAAAAATGTGTCGCCTCACTTGTCCTCCCTCACCTGCCTCTGCCATTAATGCCCTACCGACCATTGTTATTAGAGGGCTACTCACTCTTTCGATTCCACCTATCGTGCGCAATTGATCCCGATCAATTTGTTCATCACACATTGTAACCATAATCCTGCAATGTATACATCATATGTAAGTAAAACAACAATAACAAAACAAGATGAAAAAAATTTCCTGCTTTCAATGTTCCATGCACGGCATATCTTACTTCTGACCCTCCTCCCGTGAACACATACGAGAGACAATGTTGAAAAACTTGTCTTTCTCAGTTATCACTCTCTTTCTCCTCTTAACAGGCTTCAACATGGAAATCCATGGAGAAGTTACTTGACGACTTGGAATGATTGTTCTCTTTGATGGCCTTTGGTCTTCTCCCTTGTCAGTCTCTTCATCTGATGACTCCACCCCTTTATCTCCTTCATCATCACCTTTCTCACTGTCTCCTTCCTCTCCATCCTCATCACCTTCATCACTACCTCTTTCCTGATCATGGGCTTCACCTTCAGCAGTATCTCCATCACTATAACCTTTGTCACTACCTCCCTCTTCACCTTTACCATCAGATGGAAGAATCACTGCCTCATCGCGTGTGTTGTCAACAAGGTCCCTCAGATTTGAACTTGGCATCCCCTGTAGATGGAGCTGCACCTTCATAAGCTCCTCTGCAAATTGGTTACTAAGCCTTTTATGGCTTTCCTCAAGTGCATCCATCATCCTTCGATGCACTTGCTTCAATTCCTGCTAACACATTTGCTAAACAGTTAAACTCTTTACATACTAATGAATTTTATACATACAAAACTACAAACATACCGGCCGTAGATGAGCAACACTTATTGTATCTTCGACCACTTTTGTAGACTTCCCTTTGTACAATAGGCCTATGTTACTCTTTGACTCTTTGTTGACCAATTCCTTTATTCTCTTATCCGTCCAATATGCAATAGCATTTGTTGGGTCATGGTTAGTAGCTTTTGACAATGGGAATTTCTCACCCAAATATAGCTGCAACCACAATCATAGAACACACCGCATTAGCCAATTGAATTAAACAGTTACATTAACATTGAACAACATGTTTTGCTCTAAACATACCACCAAGAAGTACAGGCAGCCACCCACAGTGCAGCACGGATCCCTCTCCTTCCTGAACAAATTCACATAATCTTCCATTTCCTTGTAGAGGTCATTCATGATGTACGTTGCCCAATCATACTGTTCATATCCATTCATAGTTGCACATACCACCCTTAATAACTTCTCACCAACTCTTGCACTTGAAGTTGGAGCTAGAAATGTGCCAAGTGTGACCAACATAAATAATAGTTCAAAATGCTCATCATCCGTCCCACTTTTTATGTCAGCTAATATCTTGCTATAAACAACATTTAAATACTTTCTCCTCAGCTTCTTATATGTGTCATGATTTTCATCAACATCTCCTTTTACCTCTTCCCCAGTATGGGGCACACCAAGCAATGTTCCCACATCGTTTGCCTCAACTTCTTCTGTCCTCCCCCTTAATCGGAACTGATGTGTTGCTGGATCGTACGATTGAATGAAAGCTACAATTAACTCACGTGGGAGTTTGTCAATTTCCACATCCAACAACTTAGAGAATCCTATGTTCTCTATCCTTTGTCTTAAACTTTCATCACTCTTAACAAATTCCGCCAGTGACATGAATTGACGAACAGAGCAACGGGTGAACATTTTCCATACTCTCTTACTCTTCTTCTTCTCCGGCCTCATTTGTTTGGCCCTTTCACTATATATTTTCTTCTCCTTAATAGAGAGCCTTGCCCATGCCTCTTTCGCCTTGTTAGTTCTATCTACTACACCCTTGAATTTTTTCCCTTGAGCAAATTCCTCTCTAAATAAGACATACCCATTCCTTGGCCCTTTTGAAGTTGATGTCTCTCCCTCCAACACCATTTTTTCTGCACATTACACATTAATACAAGCATGTCAGAAAACAATTAGGAACTTGTGATTAACAACATCTATATAGTTATTTATAACTTCGGTATGGCTATTCACAACAGCATTTTGAAGAAAACAAACCCCTTTTCCCGACTTCGGTTAGAACTTAACACCTCCAGTGTAGGGATTAACAATATCTATATAAGTATTTACAACTTCAGTATGACTATTCACAACAACATTTTGTTGCAAACACAGACCCCTTTTTCCGACTTTGGTTAGAACTTAACAGCTCCAGTGTAGGGATTAACGACATCTATATAAGTATTTACAACTTCATTATGGCTATTCACAACAGCATTTTCAAGAAAACACAACCCCTTTTTCCAACTTCGGAGTTACTATTTTACAACTCCGGTGTAGGTATTAACAACATATATATAGATGTTTACAACTTCAGTATGGCTATTCACAACAGTATTTTCAAGCAAACAGAGACCCCTTTTTCCAACTTCGGTTACAACTTTACAACTCCAGTGTAGGGATTAACGACATCTATATACATATTTACAACTTCAGTATGACTATTCACAACAACATTTTGAAGAAAACAAACCCCCTTTTCCGACTTCGGTTAGAACTTAACACCTCCAGTGTAGGGATTAACAACATCTATATAAGTATTTACAACTTCAGTATGGCTATTCACAGCAGCATTTTGAAGAAAACACAGACCCCTTTTTCCAACTTCGGGGTTACTATTTTACAACTTCGGTGTAGGTATTAACAACATCTATATACATGTTTACAGCTTCAGTATGACTATTCACAACAGTATTTTCAACAAAACACAGACCCCTTTTTCCAACTTCGGTTACAACTTTACAACCCTTGTGTACGGATTAACAACATCTATATATACTTTACAACTTCAGTATGGCTATTCACAACAGCATTTCCAAGAAAACAAACCCTTTTCTCCAACTTCGGTTACAATTTTACAACTCCAGTGTAGGGATTAACAACATCTATATAAGTATTTACAACTTCAGTATGGCTATTCACAGCAGCATTTTGAAGAAAACACAGACCCCTTTTTCCAACTTCGGGGTTACTATTTTACAACTTCGGTGTAGGTATTAACAACATCTATATACATGTTTACAGCTTCAGTATGACTATTCACAACAGTATTTTCAACAAAACACAGACCCCTTTTTCCAACTTCGGTTACAACTTTACAACCCTTGTGTACGGCTTAACAACATCTACATATACTTTTACAACTTCAGTATGGCTATTCACAACAGCATTTTCAAGAAAACACAAACCCTTTTCTCCAACTTCGGTTACAATTTTACAACTCCAGTGTAGGGATTAACAACATATATATATTTACATGACAGTGGGTACATTCACCTTTTTTTCAAATAATTATTTTAAGTTTGGCCCCCTCTACACCCTTATACATACTCCCCCACACCATCACTGCGATTCATACCTTAAATCAAACTATACAATTATACTAATATGCACTTAACTTAGGCTAATAGATGAAAGACAATTATTGTCCATAGAGATAACAGTGTCATCGATGTTAATTAAGCTGACAGGAATAGCTTGGTGGCTGGGCTGGAGGAGTGGGAAATGTGAATGAAAAGAACAAAAAGGTAGAGATAAAGTAGTGATGAAACAGTGAAATCATTAACAAGAAAAGAAAAGGTACGGGGCTGTGGGCTGTGTATGTGGTCCACACTCCTGAAAGTATATCAGTCATCATATGGTGAAATGCAAGCAATCTAGTTGGGTCCTCCACTTTCTGCACATTCACTTTGTCATTTTCATCTCCAGAAACTGCCCACTCCCTCTCACACACATTCGATCGACATCTTAAAAGTAGTAGCAGTATCAAATATATAACTTGAACAAACACAGAGAAGGAAGAAATGTTAACAAACTTACCTCTGTCTCACCGCAAATTCCTCCTCTTCTCTCTTCCTCACCTTCGATCGATTGCCACAATGTAGCCGTTCCGTCGTTCTTTTCCTTTCTCTTCTTCGACGGTGACCACCAAACGCTCTTCCTTCGTCTCTTCTCTCTTCTTCGACGCCGGTAGTAGCTTCCTCCTCCGCTCTCTTCTCCTCTCTTCTTCGCTCCGTCGGCTGCAACAGGGGTCGAGAATGAGAGAGTCGAAAAACCGCCTCTGTTCCCACCTTTTGTTTAAAATAACACTGAGGGCGGTTTGGTCTTTTTGTCTAAGAAAATAATCCCAGAATGGTCTGCTGGTACCAAAACGGGATTACTGAAATTCGGCGGACGTTTTTGGGCTTTTGGAGTTGGAGGTGCATTTTTCTGGCATTTTCCCCTATTTTAATTACTAATTAATTTAGCCGCAATCATTAGTCAACCATAATTCCACCTTCTTCACTGTGCCAGAAACGACACATATTCTATTGTCAGATTCTCTTAGTCTCATTCTCTATGTAATATGCTCTCTTCCATTCTAAATACTATACAAGTAACTAGCTAATTTATATATGTTAATAAAATTACATGTAATACATATATATTGATTTTCCCAAAATGTCTCATTCGATCACTGATCCATTAATGTAAACCGGATAATTTTAAAAAAAATTATAAATTTGAAAAATTAAATGAATTGAAATTTTATATTTAAAATTAAAACAAATACCTTAACCAACTTCTATATTTAGAATCTTTGGAATCTGGGACAGTAATTAATGCTCATTGTAGGTTGTTAGACGTGTTTAATATACAAGCTAAAGCTTATGATGATTGGTTATAATCTTATAATATATTACTTCCGATATTTAATATAAAAGCTAGTTGACTAATTTTAATATATTAAAAAAGTTTGTTAAATTAGTTATTTGTAATAAATTTGTGTTGTCTTTTCTA